TCTCGAATTGTGACGATTGACAGTTGCGTCTGTTCTGCTCTGAGCACCAAGATGGCGGCGCCCACTAGCAGATAAGGGAATGGATGCCGATACTTTAAAGGCCCGTTCACACTCTTGCAACCGAGCACGAAGGAGAGAGGCGAGATCTGTTAACTGTATACACACTGACATTGTGGCGCCATCTATGCGGTGACCCTGGAACTGCATTTTACAAGAGCAAAGATTTCGCGGGATTTCCGAGGTCAAATGTGCGTAATACTTATAAGAGCGGCTCGTTTATAACGTTGACAAAAGTTTTTCGAGCCAAGAAAGAAAGGATAATGCGAGAAAGAAATAGAAAATATACCAGACCGCCAAGTTTCCGCTGCTACCCAATAGATGGCGCCAGTGTATCCTCTGGTTGTAAGAGGTTTTAAGGAACCCAGTTTTAAGAGGTCGTAAGAGTGTGAACGGGCCTTAAGCGTTTACTCATTTAGTGCCTCTAACCTGTCCTGCTGTCTTCGTGCCCTCTTTGTCCTTGTTTTGTTTGCGCTTTACAAACATTTTAAATAATATGGACGAACTAGCCAAAAAAAAGTTTTAATGCAAACCTATTGTACAAGCCCTACCCACCGGCGCGTACTGCCGAAAATTGTTCGGATCGACGAAATGAATGCTGAAATGTAAAATTATGTCAATTAATATGTAACAAACTGTGGTGCAAAAAAAGAAAGCTTAAAGTCGAAGAAAGGAAATGATGAGGCCATTCCACTCTGTAAAGGTGGATGACCCGCGAAGTTGTTGAGCACACAACACAGACGTGAAAGAATTTTGAACAAAGGTATGAAAACATTTATTGTCTTGATCGGTGGTCATCGTGACGAACGGTACGCACCGTTCGTCACGATGGCGGATGTCGAGGACTATCGCCGCCCCGAGAAGCCGAAGAAACTCATGACGTCATATGACGTCACAACTTCGAGTCACGTGTCGTCGATTTTCCCACTAAATTTATAGTGGGGAAAGTTCCCCGCTAAATTTAGCGAAAAAAAAAATGCATTGGTGTTGACGTCACTTGACGTCAATTTACCCGCTAAATTTAGTGGGAACATTTCTCCGCCAAATTTAGCGGAAAAATTTCCCCGCTCGGGGAAATTGACATCACGTGACACAAAGTCGTGACGTCACATGACGTCACGGAGCCGTGACGTCATTTCTATTGCCGCACAAAAAATCCACGGGACCCTAGCCCCCATAAACAGCTTCTCTGTAAAAGACGACAGTAGAACGTCTCAAACGCAGCTAAAATCATTATTTATTTTTCGCTCCTTGCACACACTGAATGCCGACATCCGTAGAGTTCCTGTATAAGGAGTATTCACTGGGCGCCATATTTGTGGGTGCTGTCTAGAGCGCATGCTCAGAACGGGCCCCCATTAATAGGCTGCTAAGACCTGCAATCTTGAGGGTGCGGAATGCACGTTACAAAAGAACTGTAAAAGCTCGCCATCAGCACCCGCTCAGCAGTCGCGCACACAGCTATGGCCGCCAGTGAATACTTCCTATAGGCTCCCTAAAGGGGCCCTGCAATCATATATAAGCGCCTACCTTCTTTGCTGTTTCCACGTCTCTTGGGGTTTGGGCAAGCCAGCGGGCACGGAGAGAGCAACTAAATATCAGTGCGTCATATTTTAACCGGACGACGCAGAAACCTCCTCCTCCGACGAGGGCGACCCGCGGTACCGAAAGCGCGCAAAATGTGACGTCTTTGGTCCTTGGCTTGCCACTGGTCAAAGCCGCTAAGAGTTTTTTATTTAGTCGCGATACAAAATATAAGTGTCGCGATCCGTTTCAATTATGTATGAAAGTAGTTTTTGTTCACTACTTTAGATCAGAAAAGAAACAAATGCAGTTTAGAAAGTACGGAAACAAGAAATGACCCGTCGACATACCCGCCACCAAGCGGTGGAAAAAAACGGCGCATACTAGAAAGAACTAGTGGGATGAGGCTACGACGACCGAGGAGCGTAGAAAGGTCCCGGATGTACGCGGCGACGCTGCGGTCGTATACACCAACTCAACTCTCCTACGTCACGCCGCGGTGGTGGCGCGCCGGACGCACTTCCGGTCTGGGGCGGTGGGCAGAAGTCGCCGTGCCAGACATGCATTCCTGTGTTCCTTTGGAAGAAACGAGACAAAAAAACCTGCCTTTTCGTAAAAATGCTGCGATGGGGGCTTTACAAAGAGAGTCTGGGAAGGTTTGAAGATCAGTTTTCATGTGTTTTTGCACCCTCCGTTCGTCCGAGAACGTCGATAGCAGCCGTGAAAAGAGCAAACCTGACGCTGTCGAACTACGATTGCGTGTGCGGGCCACAATTTGTAGTCGCCAGATGTATTTGCTTTGTTCCAACATGACCGAGAGAAAACCCCCAAGTTGTCCGGACCACCCACGGATTCAGTGCGTCTTCAAATTCACACGGCCGCCTGATCGTTCGAACTTTCGTCTGCTCTTTCAAAGTTGTCTGCTTTTTGTCGTTTGCTCGTTCAAACAAAAGCGGCCCGTAGACCAAACTTTGACCCGGTGATTGCAATAAGAAGTAATTGCAGGCCTCAAAAGACTTAAGTAGGCTCGGTGTAAGCAGTAGATACAAGATGTTGATCATTGGTACCGGTGGCCATCACCGACTTGTTACGCTTTGTCTGTTCCCGCTTCCGATTTTCAGTATCGACGTCGATCATCGCCGCTACCTTCTACACTTTTGCAGCACGAGGGTCGTCGCGACCGAAAATAGCTAGAAGAGTCTCATCATGGTTTTGTACGTCCATTCTGCGGCGGTCATGCAAATACATCACCGCACGTCAAATTATTTATGCAAAGTTTAGCAGCGTAACGAGCCTTGATGATTTCGCTCAGGCGATTAAAGTGGTAAGACATTGCGATGAGGACGTAGAATCGACAACTCCAACGCGAAAAAGAGTATGCATACTCACACAGACGCCGACAACGTGACATTCGAATGGTTTGTTGACGCGGGACGCGGTGCTTCTTGCCCGTACTCCATTGCGCGTGCGTTCCAACTGTCGTCTGCTCTTTCAAACTTGGCTGCTTTTTGTCGTCAGTTCGTTCAAACGACAGCGGCTCGTAAACCAAACATTGACCCAGTAATTGCGATAAGAACTAAGTGCAGGCCTCAAAACACTTTTGAAGGTTGGTTGGGGTAAGTCGGCTAAGTGTAAACAGATACAAGAAGTTGTTGATCATTTTTACCAGTGGCCATCACCGACTTGTAATGCCCGCTTCTACTTGAGGTTTTCAGTATCGATGTCCACCATCTCAGCTACTGTCCACGCTTTTGCAGTCCGAGCGACGTCGCGACTGAAAATAGCGAGCAGAATCTCGACGTGGGAGTCAGGCTTTATCGCCCATTCTGCGGCGTCCACGTGAAATGAATCGCCGCAAGTCACATTATTCACGCAAAGTTTTGCCTCGATAGTTTTTGCTGAAGCCGCTCAAGTAGTCAGACATTGTTAGGAGGACGTAGAATCAACAATTCCAACGCGAAAAAGAGCACGGGGACTCCCACCGACGCCAACAACAACGCAATTCAATGGTTTGTTTATGGGCGACGGCGGGCTTCTTGCCCACCATCCACCGCGCATGCGCGGCGCCGGTGACGTCCGCTAGGGGCGCTCCGGTTTGTTTGTAAACATGAGTTGGTGTATAGACCTTTCCAGCTGCATTCTCGAACTAGGCGCGTTACTGCTCGCGTCCCTGGTTTTGAGAGTGCATGCCAGTGTTGCCGGGCTTTGCTGAGCTGTGGAGTTGCTTGTCCGGCAGCGGTTTGCATGGGTACTCGTTCGGTTTTACGGAAAAGGAGTGTGGTCCGGAAAAGATTTCTGTATTCGGTAGTATGAGGCATGGCGTAGAACAATCCCAAATCGACTGGGCGCCACTGCGTCGTTGTAGGATGCACGAACAACCAGCGGAAGCGCAAGCTTGACGACGAGTGTATCTGCAGCGAACATGGCGTTGACAGAAATCGGTGCGGGTGTCCAGCTGACGAAAGTTTGCGTTTGGAGTGGTTAAGAGCTATAAATAGAAAAGGTTTTGTTCCAACTATATCGTCTCGCGTATGTTCCCAACACTTCGTCGGTGGGAAGCGCACGGATCAAAACAACGTTCCGATGATCAACCTCGGTTATGCCAGAAAGGTATGTATACAACTATTGAATATGTGATTTTGAGATCCAAGCTGTTCAGCCGATGCGATTCCCGGTTGCAGCGATGCTATTTACTGATCTTACTCTGGGTGGTGATGGGCCGTCGGCGTTTGATTCGCTACCAAAATGGACCGTTTCCGTGTAAAAAGGTTCGTGTTGTCGAAACAACAGCCGAGTCGACAAACCGCATGCAAGCGATTTGGCGAGCGACGAGACAAGCTAGCGACGGCGACCCGCTTCGCTGTTGCTCGGTCAGTCGTGCAACGATGCAAACTGCATGAAAGTGACGGGAGCGAGCGACCAAGACGATGAGCGACGTTTTCCAGGAATCCAAAAACCGAGCGGCGCGACGGGCGACAGTGAGAAATCTCCGTCGCTCGTCACTGACTCGTCGTTGCCGCCGTCGCTCGTCTTCGTCGCTCGCTAAATCGCTAAAATGCGGTTCGGTCCGCGAGTGTTAGATATGTGCCATGACTTTTAATATTTACCATTGCAGAATAAACCTGTACTAGTGAGTGCTGACTATGGTACAGGCTACCAGCATGCTAATCAGGTATGCTTTTGTTACAAAAATTTCTATCATTTCTTTTTAGCCCTGTATTTTCTCAACTTCATGAACTATCCTTGGGGCAAAACTCCTTAGACAATTATTACGGCAGAGATAACTGGGACGTTACTCCATTGTTTGTGTCAGTAATTGCCTTATTGCTTTGACTAATCTCTTCACTATGATTATTTACATAATTTAAAATACTTTAAGATGCTCCATTCTAAACATGTTTTCTGCTCAGTTTGGAACCATGCCACACAGAATGATCCAAACAGCAGACCCTGTAAGTACCTCCACGAACCCTGTGAATCGGCTGGGCATTACACACTTTTGCTCGAGCTTTATCTTGTCGCATTTGTTTCTCAGACGCAGTTGCTGCACTCTCACTCGTTCACGAGGACCTCTCTGACCGAAGAACTGCTGACCGAGCCGGTGAGATATTTGTGCCCTTCGTGACAAACGCGTCCTCCCATTTCCTTCGACATACTAATCAGAGTTTTGCCTCGTCCTTCCCAGGCTGAAGCCGAGCAACGCACGCCGAGACAGACGGCAGACCCTGTAAGTACCTCCACGAACCCTGTGAATCGGCTGGGCATTACACACCTTTGCTCGAGCTTTATCTTGTCGCATTTGTTTCTCAGACGCAGTTGCTGCACTCTCACTCGTTCATGAGGACCTCCCTGACCGAAGAACCGCTGACCGAGCCGGTGAGATATTTGTGCCCTTCGTGACAAACGCGTCCTCCCATTTCCTTCGACATACTTATCAGAGTTTTGCCTCGTCCTTCCCAGGCTGAAGCCGAGCAACGCACGCCGAGACAGACGGCAGACCCTGTAAGTACCTCCACGAACCCTGTGAATCGGCTGGGCATTACACACCTTTGCTCGAGCTTTATCTTGTCGCATTTGTTTCTCAGACGCAGTTGCTGCACTCTCACTCGTTCATGAGGACCTCCCTGACCGAAGAACCGCTGACCGAGCCGGTGAGATATTTGTGCCCTTCGTGACAAACGCGTCCTCCCATTTCCTTCGACATACTTATCAGAGTTTTGCCTCGTCCTTCCCAGGCTGAAGCCGAGCAACGCACGCCGAGACAGACGGCAGACCCTGTAAGTACCTCCACGAACCCTGTGAATCGGCTGGGCATTACACACCTTTGCTCGAGCTTTATCTTGTCGCATTTGTTTCTCAGACGCAGTTGCTGCACTCTCACTCGTTCATGAGGACCTCCCTGACCGAAGAACCGCTGACCGAGCCGGTGAGATATTTGTGCCCTTCGTGACAAACGCGTCCTCCCATTTCCTTCGACATACTTATCAGAGTTTTGCCTCGTCCTTCCCAGGCTGAAGCCGAGCAACGCACGCCGAGACAGACGGCAGACCCTGTAAGTACCTCCACGAACCCTGTGAATCGGCTGGGCATTACACACCTTTGCTCGAGCTTTATCTTGTCGCATTTGTTTCTCAGACGCAGTTGCTGCACTCTCACTCGTTCATGAGGACCTCCCTGACCGAAGAACCGCTGACCGAGCCGGTGAGATATTTGTGCCCTTCGTGACAAACGCGTCCTCCCATTTCCTTCGACATACTAATCAGAGTTTTGCCTCGTCCTTCCCAGGCTGAAGCCGAGCAACGCACGCCGAGACAGACGGCAGACCCTGTAAGTACCTCCACGAACCCTGTGAATCGGCTGGGCATTACACACCTTTGCTCGAGCTTTATCTTGTCGCATTTGTTTCTCAGACGCAGTTGCTGCACTCTCACTCGTTCATGAGGACCTCCCTGACCGAAGAACCGCTGACCGAGCCGGTGAGATATTTGTGCCCTTCGTGACAAACGCGTCCTCCCATTTCCTTCGACATACTTATCAGAGTTTTGCCTCGTCCTTCCCAGGCTGAAGCCGAGCAACGCACGCCGAGACAGACGGCAGACCCTGTAAGTACCTCCACGAACCCTGTGAATCGGCTGGGCATTACACACCTTTGCTCGAGCTTTATCTTGTCGCATTTGTTTCTCAGACGCAGTTGCTGCACTCTCACTCGTTCATGAGGACCTCCCTGACCGAAGAACCGCTGACCGAGCCGGTGAGATATTTGTGCCCTTCGTGACAAACGCGTCCTCCCATTTCCTTCGACATACTTATCAGAGTTTTGCCTCGTCCTTCCCAGGCTGAAGCCGAGCAACGCACGCCGAGACAGACGGCAGACCCTGTAAGTACCTCCACGAACCCTGTGAATCGGCTGGGCATTACACACCTTTGCTCGAGCTTTATCTTGTCGCATTTGTTTCTCAGACGCAGTTGCTGCACTCTCACTCGTTCATGAGGACCTCCCTGACCGAAGAACCGCTGACCGAGCCGGTGAGATATTTGTGCCCTTCGTGACAAACGCGTCCTCCCATTTCCTTCGACATACTAATCAGAGTTTTGCCTCGTCCTTCCCAGGCTGAAGCCGAGCAACGCACGCCGAGACAGACGGCAGACCCTGTAAGTACCTCCACGAACCCTGTGAATCGGCTGGGCATTACACACCTTTGCTCGAGCTTTATCTTGTCGCATTTGTTTCTCAGACGCAGTTGCTGCACTCTCACTCGTTCATGAGGACCTCCCTGACCGAAGAACCGCTGACCGAGCCGGTGAGATATTTGTGCCCTTCGTGACAAACGCGTCCTCCCATTTCCTTCGACATACTTATCAGAGTTTTGCCTCGTCCTTCCCAGGCTGAAGCCGAGCAACGCACGCCGAGACAGACGGCAGACCCTGTAAGTACCTCCACGAACCCTGTGAATCGGCTGGGCATTACACACCTTTGCTCGAGCTTTATCTTGTCGCATTTGTTTCTCAGACGCAGTTGCTGCACTCTCAAGGCTAGCCCACATGGCGCGTTTTTCAGTGCGTCTAGACGCGCGTCTCGGCTTGGCGCGCGCGCTAAGCCAGACGCGTACGCCCAGTCAAACCACACGCAGCTCTACTGGCTCTACCGCGCAGCGCTTCGCGTCTGCGTTTCCGAAGCGTCTATCCAACGTAGCCAGACGCGCTTAAGAAACACAAGCAAATTTTAAATAGAAATCGCGCGTTAAATGATGGCTACATGCCGTAATATTTAATTTTATTAATAGTAAGCACGCATTTTTATTACAGCAATTGCAGTGAAGCTCAATTTTACTAATTTTCATCCTTTTTAGTGCGTAGGCCTCATCCACGTTTCGATACGCCATTGGCATCACCATCGCCCGCACCAAAACATTCACAGCTGGCCGGCTGGCCGCTGACTGGTGCACGTGGTGCAGAGGTTGCGTTGTGGCGGTTGTTGCCGGTGTTGCCGGTAGTATTAATGTACCTTTGTCTCTCGGTGTCCTTCTAATCTTTACATTTCGCCTGCCAGAGTGCAGGACGCTTTTGTACTTTGCTAGGTCCTCTCTGTTCCGCTGAAGGAGCGTAGCCTCTCCCGCGGAGCAGAGAGGATTCCCTGGACTTGTGTAAAAGGTATGTTAAACTGATATCCGCGGGGGGAAGGACGTAACTACCCATGTTCGCCCTGCTGCTAGCGTTGGCGGGGCCTAAAAGCCGTTTTTATTTAAGGCCGCGAGCGTGCAAATTTATTTATTTATTTATTTATTTAGATACCTTAAGGACCCCCTTGGGGGTATTACATAAGGGGTGGGTACAGAGCGTAAAACAAAAGGGTAGAAAACACGCCAAAAACAACTCGCGTACAAAGAGCAAAAACACACAAATGTGAAAGGCAAACTGTACACATATAGATGGTTCGTACAAACCTAAAGTGGGGAGTCTAGCAAGCGTTTCTTAAATTCTATCGGGTCATGAGTGATGATGACGTTCTCGGGAAGATCGTTCCAATCAATGGCAGTGCGTGAAAAAAATGAATTCTGGAAGGTGACGGTTCTTGCTTTGGGGCGTCTTACGCCGAGGTTATGTCCCGTACGACGAAGCCGGTATTCTGAAGATATGATGTATGATGACCGGAGGCACTGACTGTAGTAAAATTTGTGAAAAAGAGATAGCCTAGCAAGTTTACGACGGACAGAAAGGACAGGGAGGTTTGCACGGATTTTAAGATTAGTTACGCTAGAAAAGGAAGAATAATCTGAGTAGATAAAACGTACTGCACGATTCTGGAGTGATTCGAGGTTATTGATGAGATAGGCCTGATGCGGGTCCCAGATGGCAGATGCGTACTCCAATTTAGGACGGACAAGGGATGAGTAGGCAAGCAGCTTTAGGTGAGGAGGGGCTAGCTTAAGGTTACGTTTTAAGAAGCCTAGTGAGCGATTAGCAGTGGAGATAACGTGACTGATATGAGTAGCCCAGGAAAGATCAGATGAGAGGTGGACTCCGAGATACTTATAGGAAAGGCTTTTCTGCAGAGGTACGTTATTAAGTGAGTAGGAAAACACGGAGGGGCTTACACGACGTGTAAATGACACGAGCTGGCATTTCTGGACGTTAAGAGACATCTGCCATTCTTCGCACCACGCTTGAATTCGTATGAGGTCATCTTGAATGAGTTGGTGGTCCGAAGGGTTAGTTACTTGGTGGTAGATGACGCAATCGTCAGCGAAGAGGCGAATATGCGACGTGATTGATACGGGTAGGTCGTTAATGTATATTAGAAATAGGAGTGGTCCAAGGACCGATCCCTGAGGAACGCCTGAGGTGACTTCGGCAATAGAGGATGATGACTGGTTAACGGTAACGAATTGATGTCTATGCGTAAGAAAGCTAATGATCCAGTTCAAAATCGCGGGGTCTAAGTTAAGTTGATTAAGCTTGTATATGAGACGTCTGTGAGGGACCTTATCAAAAGCTTTAGCAAAGTCTAGAAAGATGGCGTCAGTTTGAATGTTAGAGTCGAGGTTAACATGCAGGTCATGGACGAAAGACGCGAGTTGAGTTTCACAGGAGAAGTTTTTTCGGAAGCCGTGTTGGGCGGAGTGGATATAGTTGTTTTCTAACAAGTGATGAATGATTTTGGAGTAGATGATATGTTCCATTATTTTACACGACACGCTTGTTAGGGAGATGGGACGGTAGTTAGAAGGGGAGCACTTGTTTCCGTTTTTGTAGATTGGGACGATCTTCCCAACTTTCCAGTCGTATGGCAAGGAACCAGTAGAAAGTGACTGTGCAAAAAGCTTTGCCAATATTACGCTAGATATATCTTTAGTATTTTTCAACACTTTTACATTTATTTCGTCAATACCGGCTGATGAAGAAATCTTAAGGGTGTCGATGATTTTCACAATGCCAGCCGGTTCAAACGTGATCCCATCCATGGATGTAGGAAAGGCAGGAGGAACCATAGAAAACATATCATTGCACTCTTGTGTGAACACTGAACAAAAAACATCATTGAATTTTTCTGCACATTCGTCATCAGGAACCAAAGAGTCATCGTCGTTTTTAAGATTGATTACTATTTCAGGTTTAGGATTAACGACATTCCAAAACTTTTTTGGGTTGCTCTGCAGCATGCATGGGAGATCAACATTAAAAAACGCTCGTTTTTGTGTTCTGATTGCGCTTCTGAATTGTCTGTCGGAACTATAGAACTTATCCCAGTCCGAGCTGCGCTCCGTGGTTTTGGCTTTACGAAAGAGTCTCTTTTTTTTCGTGCTTAAACCTTTCAGGGTATCATTAAACCATGGAGCAGAAGCGCTTTCGAAAAATGTCACAGTTGGGATAAAGCTTTCAGCTAGTTGTTGCATTTTAGATTTGTACATAGTCCAATTTTCACAGACGGACCGATTGTCAAAGTCTATTAAAAGGACATCTAAGAATTTCCCTAGCTCAGTATTCATTCCTTGATAATTCCCTTTCTCGTATAGTTTTACGGTTTTCTTCCGCTTCGATTTTGACTGAATATTTAAAGAAAATGTGCAGTAAATCACTTTATGGTCACTTATTTCGTGTAGGTAGTTTATCGACTTTAGAGAGTCAGGATCAGAAACAAGGATGAGGTCAAGGATGTTCGAAGAGTGGGTGGTTGATCGTGTGGGTTTAGTTACAAGCTGCGAGAGATCGAAATTGAAGCAAAGGTTAACGAAACCAGTCGCTTCACTCGTATCAAGAGGGACCGAAACGGATAAGGCGGGCCAATCAATAGAGGGGTAATTAAAGTCACCGAAAAGCAGAATACTGGATTTGGGATATTTAAGGTACAATTCATTGAAAGCGTCATTGAGGTTAATTAGAAAAGATGGATCGCTGTGAGGGGGTCGGTAACATACACCGATAAGGAGCGAAGCGTGTTGAACCGTGCAGGAAAGCCATAGCATTTCCAACGGTGAAGACAAGCTTACTAGGTTGCACACAAAACTATCTTTTATCGCAATCAAGACCCCCCCTCCCCGGCCACTTTCCCTATCTTTGCGGAATATATTGAACCCAGAAGTGCCCGTAAAAATTTTGTAAACTCCGCGCGCGCGGGTGTGTGTGTGTGCGTGCGTGCGCAAGTGCGCTCTGCCTTGGAATGGCACAGGGCGGCTACCCCTTTTTGTGTGTGTATCTTTCTGTTTCGAGTGTTTTTATTTATTTTCCTTTCCCGTATCCCCTTCCCTACTTGGCGGCGGGCTAGCAGGCCCACCGGCGTAAGGGTCTCAACCTTTTTGCCTAGCCTCGCACACTGCCGAGTGGGTATCGCAATATGTGCAAATAAAAAGTATTATTATTATAATTATTATTATCGCCTTTGTCGCGAGGTCCGTGGCGAAAACTACAGTCCTACAGTGGCGAAAACAGTGGAGAAAATTCAAACGCTCCTTGCAACTAGTGAACACGGCGGTTCATTGGTTGTTGCCTTCTGGACGCAGCGCGAGACGCGACGCGTGGACGCAAAATATCTGGCTCCTCCAGATACGCCGGAATGCGCCAAAAAACGCTCCGTTTCGTCCCGGCGCCGGAAGTGACGTCAAAGCGCAGGCGCAGACGCGACGCAGACGCGGAGAAAAGCGCACCATGTGGGCTAGCCTTCACTCGTTCATGAGGACCTCCCTGACCGAAGAACCGCTGACCGAGCCGGTGAGATATTTGTGCCCTTCGTGACCAACTCGCCCTCCCATTTCCTTCGACATACTTATCAGAGTTTTGCCTCGTCCTTCCCAGGCTGAAGCCGAGCAACGCACTCCGAGACAGACGGCAGACCCTGTAAGTACCTCCACGAACCCTGTGAATCGGCTGGGCATTACACACGTTTGCTCGAGCTTTATCTTGTCGTATTTGTTTCTCAGACGCAGTTGCTGCACTCTCACTCGTTCACGAGGACCTCCCTGACCGAAGAACCGCTGACCGAGCCGGTGAGATATTTGTGCCCTTCGTGACCAACTCGCCCTCCCATTTCCTTCGACATACTTATCAGAGTTTTGCCTCGTCCTTCCCAGGCTGAAGCCGAGCAACGCAGGCCGAGACAGACGGCAGACCCTGTAAGTACCTCCACGAACCCTGTGAATCGGCTGGGCATTACACACGTTTGCTCGAGCTTTATCTTGTCGCATTTGTTTCTCAGACGCAGTTGCTGCACTCTCACTCGTTCACGAGGACCTCCCTGCCCGAAGAACCGCTGACCGAGCCGGTGAGATATTTGTGCCCTTCGTGACCAACTCGCCCTCCCATTTCCTTCGACATACTTATCAGAGTTTTGCCTCGTCCTTCCCAGACTGAAGCCGAGCAACGCACTCCGAGACAGACGGCAGACCCTGTAAGTACCTCCACGAACCCTGTGAATCGGCTGGGCATTACACACGTTTGCTCGAGCTTTATCTTGTCGCATTTGTTTCTCAGACCCAGTTGCTGCACTCTCACTCGTTCACGAGGACCTCCCTGACCGAAGAACCGCTGACCGAGCCGGTGAGATATTTGTGCCCTTCGTGACCAACTCGCCCTCCCATTTCCTTCGACATACTTATCAGAGTTTTGCCTCGTCCTTCCCAGGCTGAAGCCGAGCAACGCACTTCGAGACAGACGGCAGACCTTGTAAGTACCTCCACGAACCCTGTGAATCGGCTGGGCATTACACACGTTTGCTCGAGCTTTATCTTGTCGCATTTGTTTCTCAGACGCAGTTGCTGCACTCTCACTCGTTCACGAGGACCTCCCTGCCCGAAGAACCGCTGACCGAGCCGGTGAGATATTTGTGCCCTTCGTGACCAACTCGCCCTCCCATTTCCTTCGACATACTTTTCAGAGTTTTGCCTCGTCCTTCCCAGACTGAAGCCGAGCAACGCACTCCGAGACAGACGGCAGACCCTGTAAGTACCTCCACGAACCCTGTGAATCGGCTGGGCATTACACACGTTTGCTCGAGCTTTATCTTGTCGCATTTGTTTCTCAGACCCAGTTGCTGCACTCTCACTCGTTCACGAGGACCTCCCTGACCGAAGAACCGCTGACTGAGCCGGTGAGATATTTGTGCCCTTCGTGACCAACTCGCCCTCCCATTTCCTTCGACATACTTATCAGAGTTTTGCCTCGTCCTTCCCAGGCTGAAGCCGAGCAACGCACTTCGAGACAGACGGCAGACCCTGTAAGTACCTCCACGAACCCTGTGAATCGGCTGGGCATTACACACGTTTGCTCGAGCTTTATCTTGTCGCATTTGTTTCTCAGACGCAGTTGCTGCACTCTCACTCATTCACGAGGAACCCCCTGACCAAAAAACCGCTGACCGAGCCGGTGAGATATTTGTGCCCTTCGTGACCAACTCGCCGTCCCATTTCCTTCGACATACTTATCAGAGTTTTGCCTCGTCCTTCCCAGGCTGAAGCCGAGCAACGCAGGCCGAGACAGACGGCAGACCCTGTAAGTACCTCCACGAACCCTGTGAATCGGCTGGGCATTACACACGTTTGCTCGAGCTTTATCTTGTCGCATTTGTTTCTCAGACGCAGTTGCTGCACTCTCACTCGTTCACGAGGACCTCCCTGACCGAAGAACCGCTGACCGAGCCGGTGAGATATTTGTGCCCTTCGTGACCAACTCGCCCTTCCATTTCCTTCGACATACTTATCAGAGTTTTGCCTCGTCCTTCCCAGGCTGAAGCCGAGCAACGCAGGCCGAGACAGACGGCAGACTCTGTCAGTACCTCCACGAACCCTGTGAATCGGCTGGGCATTACACACGTTTGCTCGAGCTTTATCTGGTCGCATTTGTTTGTCAGACGCAGTTGCTACACTCGCACTCCTCCATTAAGACGTCTCTGATCAAACAGCCGGTGAGATGCCCATGCCCTGAATTATTTAGATATTCTCAATTTCCGGCGGGTACATTGATGCTGATCAGAAAAGCTCGTACTTACCCTTCTAATCATGGGAATGTTTAGGGGTAGTTTTTCATAGAACTAAAATTGGCATGTTAGTGATGAAATATGTGCTGCCTAGTTTTTAATTTAAAAATCAACAAAGATTGAGGTTTCCGGACCCTTCAACTCCTTCACCATCTTGCGAGTCACGTGCGCTGTGAAATCAATGGGGGACGCGTGGGATTCCCGTGAACCCCACGCGTCCCCAAGAAGCACGCCTGCACAGCGCGCTTCTTGGGAGCCGTTCGGCCGCCCTCCATTTCCCGTGTCACAACTGCCATCGTCGTCTTACCATTTGTGATTATCATCTCTCGGAGTTTCTTTCACACTACAGACACAACGTGCGCAGACTTATGCCGTAGTTGTTCAGACATAATCAAATGTCGTAGACACCAAGACGCGGTGAAGAGTACGGTGCAGACGACATTGCGCCTAGCACCCGTCATTATGTAGCGGAGCACGTGACATCTCGTACCACGTGATGGCCATGTTCTTGGCAGCCCGAGGCCAATGCTGCTAGACAGAACCGAAGTTTCGGTTTCAATTTTTGCTCGCTTTTTCTTTTTCCTGTGTTCTAGTTTGAGTGATTAAATTAAAGTAGTTATTATTTTTGATCCAGGTGTCGCAGAGGGACCAGTCGACGCAGTGGGAAATGGACCCATGTGATGACCATACATACTGCCAACTTCCGAGGATTGGACTGCGGCGCCCTTCAATGTCGGAGAAGTTAAAGGGCGACGACATTCAGTTTTACACTGGTATCTCCAGCGACGTTTTCAGACAGCTGGCAAGTGCAGTGTCAGCACTGGGACCTGTCAGCAGCAAACTTTCCACCGCTGACCAGCTCCTCATGTGCCTCATGAGGCTACGTCTAGGTCTGCTGTATGGTCACTTGGCTAGAATTTTTTAAGTGTCCGTAAGCACAGTCGGAAATATAGTGAAAACCATGATGGTGCTTCTGAAGAAGGTGATGAAGCTGGTGGTTGTCTGGCTGTCGAGACCCCAGATTCAAAACAGCTTGCCACAGTCATTCATTGAGAATGGCTTTGGTAAAACAACGTGCATTGTTGACTGCACGGAAGTGTTTCTTCAAAGGCCCACAAAACTGATGGCGAGGGCACAGACATACAGCGCGTACAAAGGACACAACACGATCAAATTTCTTACTGTCATTGCCCCAAATGGTCTTCTAATGTTCGTCTCGAAGGCTTATGGCGGGCGTGCCTCCGATAAATTTATCACGGCTGACTCGGGCGTCCAGGACTACTTTTTTCCTGGCGACGAGATCATGGCCGACAGGGGCTTCTCTCTGGACCGTGATCTGGAGGTCCTTGGTGTCAAGCTGAATGTTCCTGCCTTTACTAAAGGTATTTCTCACAAGACAGCTCGTCAAATGTTGAAGAGCTTAATCTAATTTTTTGTTTTTTTGATTTTACAGGGAAAGCACAGCTCAGCGAGAGAGAAGTAACAGGAACTCGCCGGATCGCCTCGGTTCGTATCCATGTGGAACGTGCCATTAACCGAATTAAGACCTACCGAATATTCAAACAAGCACTGCCAATCAGGTCAAAGAAGATGATTAGTGATATGATTTTTGTGTGTGCGGGATTGTGCAATCTCAAGCCTGCTCTCATTGCCAGCACTTTTGAAAAATAATTGGACCGTAGACTTATGTTGACCCAAGCTGCCCGCCAGTCCTGAATCGGTATCATTGATCTTGGACGACAGCCCAGCCCTGAGGAAAAACATTTTAATTAAGAACAATTAAATTTTTGTCAATAGGTGAAGGAAAAGTTATTAGAATAAAATGAAAAGCTTCAGATAATTACATTAGAGTGGTCACCCATATCATTATTATAATTGTGAAGCGTTGTAAGAGTGCATAGAAATTGTAAGAAGTAGATATGAAGTCTTAATTTTTAACCGATCATCACAGCTTTTAGCATCCATTCAAAAGAAATTGCCAAAGACACCAATTTTTGTAAACTAAATAGACGCCGAAAAACATTCACTGGTTTTCCGAATAGAGAAACAATGGAGAATCTCCAGGCTAAAAATAATGTGCCCCGATCCCCCAGACAAACAGCACGAGGTGGAACACACAAATTTTTATCACTCTAACCGAAAGAACACACAAAACGTCTTCACTCAGGTCCAGTTCTGGCCAGGAAACAGGACAGAAAGTAATGGTTACATACTGGTCTCTAGGCCTGCGGTACCTACATTGCACTGAGCTGCCTATATCGTCCTTCAATCGTCAACAGTCCTTGCTCGTACAGCCTCTCAATGCGTGGCAGCATTTCGGTGAAGTAGAACCTTCTCATTCGTGGCATGTTGTTCGTGATGTACTCTTCGTTAAGCTTCACTTTCACGACGGTTGCACTTTTAATGCTCCAGATGTAGAAGAAACAGGTCTTCTTCCCTGTGCAAAGCATCTGGAATTGCACTTGTGCATAGAATCTGTTATGTCCATCTTGAAGCAGGTCATACACTCTGTCCCCTATGAGCTTCAAATCATACTTGGCTGGCGTTTTGAGGCAGTCGTCCGTATCTGGGCACTTGATTTCAAGAAGCGCATCACAGTCTTCAATGATGCCGTCTGGACTGGCAGAAAGCCATGGCATGTGGCTGCAGATAACCGTTCCGCACTGGTTGACACTCAGCTTATAGTCCCGCACAAATTGAGCTCGTGCGACAGGCTCGTAGATCTGTCCATGGCGCGTGGATGCATTTCCTGCGACTTTGGGGCACACTACACTTGATGCAGATTTCTCCAACGATGTTGTTGGGCGAATGGGCACCACCTTGACTTTGGAAGCGGTGAGCCTAACCCGTCTTGCTATGTGCCAGAGGGGTGTGGCCGATGCAGCCTTGTCTCCTCCTCAAGGAGGACTGCTGCTGCAGGGCTCAGCATTACAAATTTTTCATAGAAACTGTTGCAAGCGGTACAGCTTCCAGGAAGGCTGTCAACATCTTCGTGGCTAGTGTGATCCTTAGTTCTGTCTTGTGCCACCTCGTTCCGTTGCTTGCGTGCTGGTGCATTGAGGGACTGGTACAGAAGTGTTCCTGTATAAAATATAAACAAAAATTATGGCTAGGCTCACTGGATATTTTGTTTTTATATAAGGAAAAGAGAGTCTTGTTTTTTTGTGTGTCGGTGGTTAAAGACGGACAGTGTTTGTGTACCTGCAGAACCTAACAATCTAGCCGAAGACCTTCCTAACCTATTAACTGAAAAGCAAATGAAAGAGTTCTGCCATTTTATCAAGTAGAGCTAAAAAGAAAATCACACTGTAGGTTAGTTATTTTCAAAATAATTATTAAATATGGTGGTTCCTAGATGTCTATCGTTTGTACACTCTTAATGTTTGATCACATTGCATGCTTTGTTATACTCTGTCATATGGCAGAGTTTGTGTATGATGCACTATCGTTAACAATATGAATAGTATTGCTGGAGCGTGTAACCTTGGGTTCATGCTGCACTACCTCCAGGCCAATAAAACAGCGGAGTGAACGAAGAGAACAGATGGGCTGCAATAATGAGCACTAAGTAAGTGCACATTTTTGCAGCCCCTTTCCACTTCAGTTTTACCAGCCTCGAGGTAGTGCAGCAAGTTCCAAAGGTCATTTGCTCTGGCGTTCCCAGCACATACGATTCACAATAGTACATTGCGTCTTTGATGTCACATTGTGCACATATTTGCATTTGTATAATATTGCTATGTTTTCATGTGAAATTCTATCGTTTTTGTCCCCATTTTGAAACTTGCATATCTACTGCTGGAAGCCGCATACAAGCGTACTACGCTTCAGTCGGCCTGTGGCTTCTAATTTCATTGTTTTCCTGTACGTTGTGTAAAATAAAGTGAGCAATGCATTCTGGTGATGCCTCTTTCAGATTGCTTCTGTTAAATAGTATTATAGTTTTACACAAACAAAGCATTTGATGAGAAAACATACCCGGAACTTGGAAAAGCCCTGGATACGGCGAGTTCTCATGAAGAGATTTTAGCTGGGCAGCGTCCATCACAGTCTTCAGAGGCCTTAGCTGGCTAGCTTGGGTAGGTTCATCCACAGTCCTTTTTCCAAGCTTAAATGTGATCTCACTTAGCCTCCCAGGCTCTACATTTCGCTTCGTACCCTTGTTCCACTGTGCTTCACTGTCTGTGCAGCTGAGGCCTGTCATGCCTCTGGCAACATCCAGGTCTACTTTCCACAAGACTGCACCAACATGGCTGCACACTCTAGCCTGACCTGCCATGCAAGTGCAGCCAGCCGTGATCACTTCTCCAGTGTTCTTCGCACACACCCACACATTTTTTGTAGGATTGTTAACAGCCTGCGACGGCTTCACTTGGCCTATGATGTAGGTGACAGCCTCGTCTACCTGGTGCACACTCAGGGCCCCGACCCACCCACACTGCAGATAGTTGTATGAATCCAGGCTCTTGAAAGCTTTCACATCCTTGAGGTCGCATGCTTGTGTACTAAGTAAATAGTAAACAATGTCGGCCTGCCTGATACCAGGCCACAGTCTGATGTCGTCAATCCACATAGTGACGTCTTCGGGGTGAGCATAGCACTCGCCATCTGAAATGAGTGGAGGCTGCATGTTACATAATATACACAACGGTTGCTTATAACTACAAATCACTACTTGTAACTTACCCCCAAGTAAGAGATTGGTTCAAGGGTTGCACACTGGGCACATACCAAATGTTTCCAAATTCTGATTTGGCCTAACGAAATGCTGTTTGTTAATTTTACTTTTACCAACAATATTTGTGAGTGTCAAAACACCCACTGCGGTTGAAAAAAAAAAAATGGAGAAGTTAGTTTCATAACATCGTGACTCCTGCAGAGTGAGGATCGGGCTCTGAAGATCCTTCACATTTTTCA